CACTTCTGCGGTTGCGCTTGACCTGAAAAAGAAAGCTTGCGACGATTTCTTGCATCGCCTCGTTTTTGGACACAGATTTGTGTCCAAAAACGTGGCGATACAAGATTTCACTGGCGTTCAAACTCACTGCGCCTGCCAGCACTTTCAGACCCTGNNTGCAGCACGTGCGTGTCGTGTTTGGTTTTTTTTTCCCGCCGCGTGCCAGCTAGTAGGAGGAGGAGGAAGCGGCGAACGATGATCGCTACTGCTTAGTCCTGGTGTGTTTTTGCAAAGGCATCTTGTGGCATTTTGGTGCTTGATGCCTTTGGTGCTTGAAATTTCTTCGCGGTCGGCGACGCCACCGGGTTCTCTTGAAGCTACTGTTCTCTTGAAGCTACGGAGCTTGACGAGTCTACTAGGTTTTGCAGCTCCGAGGCGTTTTGTCCAAACTCGTAGGCATCCACGTCCAAACCCAAAGAGCGTTCGTTCCCAGGCCAGAATAACGTGCGTCCCCAAGAGCATCCGATTTCCAGAGCATCCACGTCTAAAGCAGAAAAACATCCATGATCGACAGCATCTGATTTCCAGAACATGTATGCGCGAACCATGGTTACGTCCATGTTCAAGAGCACCCATCCCCAAACCCTAGCCTGGACAAGCATCAAGAATGTGGAGACAGACTGCCCATAGTGCCTCTGTAACCTTACAGCTCTCACCCGGACAGTGGATGCTGACCAACCCGCTTTTTTTTTGGATGCAGCGCTTGTCACGGTCTGAATCCGCCGCGAAAACGCGTGATGTGTTGCTGTTCACTTTTTTTTGTCTGCTGCACAATGCCAGTCAGATGATGGGCGACTCCTCGTTGTAAGCTCGTTGTGTCGGAGCTTACTGATGGGTCCTGAGCAATCACCAGGTTTCCCCCCTCTGCTACTACTGCTGCTACTACTGCCACTATTCTTATGTTTATTACTACTACTGCTACAGGTTCTATTACTGCTATTGCTACTGTTACTGCTACTACTGCTACTGCTACTGCGACTGCTACTGCTACTACTGCTGCTACTGCGGCTACTACTGCTACTACTACTACTACTGCTACTACTACTGCTACTGCTACTGTTACTGCTACTGCTACTGCTACTGCTACTGCTACTGCTACGGCTACGGCTACGGCTACGGCTACGGCGACGACGACGACGACGACGACGACGACGACGACGACGACTACTACTACTACACAGCTACGGCTGCTTCCCCACTCCCTGCCTGTGCTGTTCTACAACCATCATTACTGCTGCTCATGTATCAGTCTTATCCTCGTAACTGCGTGAGTAGTTTGAGTATGCTAATTGTTGCGAACCCCCATTGCCAGTCTATTTGTCCTTAGTTGACCTCCAGTTCACCTGAGAAACTTGAAGTGCCAAGCGGTTGAGCTGCTTGACAGAGAGCCGGAATTGCTTCAAGCAAAGAAGGACCTGTTCGAGCAGCTAGGCAGCGCTTTCATGACTTCCTGGGTATGTGCCACAAGTTGATCCCTTTGCGTTTGCGAGCGGCATGAATTTATTAGATGGACCGTCACAGAATTTGGGGATGAAAGCAGAGCAATCATGATACCTTTCGGGCATGTATTGTGAGGATATTGGATCGTACATTTGGCACATACCCTTGTCAGCCGAAATTATGAAACAGGGAGAGGGCCCTAGGGGAGCCTGTGTTAACTGCAAGGCATTTCGTCCACACAGATTTTACGCTGTTTCTACTTGGAGATTCACTGTAATCAATTATGACCCAATTGGGCAGAAGGTTAGAATCCAGTTCTGAGCATATTAGAGGGCTCAGGGAGCTGAGGTTATAGCTGCTTTTAACTTTCAAATGAGGTTATCCCCACTACCGGCCCTCTTAATTCGACGAAACTGCGCATCCAGTCGCAAAATCGCCAGGCGAGCCGTTGTAGAGGATTGGAACTCTTGTGGGGCAGGGGCTTGCTACTACCAAGCTTCCAAGTTCCTGGGCTGACTTGTTGCTAGGGCCCAATGTCGACCCTTGCTTTCATGAGTGGTCATGAGCGTAACCCTCCCGATGACGGAGCCTTTCCCTGAACAGTGGTGCCAATACTACTTCGCAATCCCAATATCTGCTCACTTCTAGGCTTAAAGAACGAAGGTGAATTACCCAGCGACCTATCTTGCGCGAGCAGGTCTGGGAACTAGCTGCAGGATGACCACCACAAGCACCTTCACCGTCACCGTCACCGTCACCGTCATCGCCGTCACCGTCACCACTGCCGCCAACATCGCTGCCTTCGCCGCTCACCACCACCGCCGGCGCCGGCGCCGGCGCGGGCACGGCACCAGCACCATCACCACCATCGCCATCACAAGCATAACCATCCCAGCCATCATCACCATTGCCATGGCCGTCGCCGTTTCTGGGTATTCTGACCTGTTGCACGGGTTTTGGGGCAGCTTTGGTTGTTGAAAAAGAATAGATCTCGCAAACAAGGAAAGCATGGCCTCTGCCATTTGTGGCAGAGTTGGCCTTTGTGCCAACAACGCAAGCTTTGCCTGAATTGTCCTTTGCTTATAGAATGCTCCTGTTGATCGGCCCGTATTTGAAAGCCGCACCGGCTTCGAACTCAGAATCTTGGACTTTACATGCGGACGAAGGGGGTTTCTCCGATTTTATTTAGGCTAATTACATAAATTATTAAATGATTGATTAAATACGCTAAATGAATTTAAAAGAGTAAATAAATTACGAACACGTTCGAATTAATTATTCGATGGTAAAATAGACCCTAAAGGTGGGTGTCAGGACAGATGTTGAGTCCAATAACCCGAGATTTGCCATAGGTTCCAAGTGATATCATAATGCTTTGTAACAGTTCGCGCGGTGCCGTCCTAAGCCCCCGTGCAAGGGCAAGGCACCGTGATGACGTAGAGGTATGTTTCGGGTCTCGGAGCGCCGGCCGAGACCCACGCGACCATGAGAACCGCCCTCCAGGCCACATTGGTATGTTTGGTTGCCGGTGGAATGGAGGCATCCTGTTTTTCTGTGGTCCAACATAGGTAAGGGAGAAACGCACAGCCGAAAACCGGAAAAGGTCATGCCACTGTTGCGTATGTCACGGGCAAGGCTCGCATCGCAACATTGCGTGAACGAACGGGACTTCTTTTTCTTATTGTGCGCATGACGCAAATTGCCTGCATCGCAGAACTTGAAGTAGGACTTGAAGCTGCCTGCATGAATGCGCTGGTTACCTGTTGGCTTCAGTTAGGCCCTAAATGTGCAGTGGCGAGTTCAGATCATGTACAACGCAAGCTATGGGCTAAGCGTTGCTGGACACAAACCCAAAGCAGCACTAAGCAGCATTGCACAAACACATACCAGTGTACTTGTTGTTCTAGTAACCAGCTTTGAGCGGAGTGGGCCACCGAATGTTTGGCATGTGGCGTTGAACATTGCCTTGGCCGGCGAACATCTTGGTTCGCCTGGGCCTTGGTTATGCTTCAATTGCATGTTAGCAGAATATTTTGCTTCAAGTTATAAATCCTTAGTGGGAAAGGGCACGATCTATCATGCAGATGGTTGGTCTTGCTGCTGTGTTGTTGTTGTTGTTGTTGTTGTTGTTGTTGTTGGTGATGGTGATGGTGGTGATGGTGATGATGGTGATGATCGTGGTGGTGATGATCGTGGTGGTGGTGGTGGTGGTGGTGGTGGTGGTGGTGGTGGTGGTGATTATGATGATTGTGGTGGTGGTGGTGATTGTGATGATCGTGGTGGTCGTGCTGGTCGTGGTGGTCCTGGTGGTTGTGGTGCTCGTGCTGCTCGTGGAGCTCGTGGTGCTCGTGGTGCTCGCGGTGCTCGCGGTGGTTGCGGTGCTCGTGGTGGTCGTCGTCGGTGTTGGCGCAAACTGCGGCGGCGGCGCCGTCGTCGTACCGCACTGTCGCTGTCATCACTGCTGTTGTGATGACCGCTGGGAACGGAATGGAAGCTGGCAGATCATGCTCTACCAGCACCCGCAACCTGGAACCAGCAAGCCTTTTTTTGAATTCTTAAATCTAAGAAGCAGAAGTATTCTGATCAGAGCGGCGAGGCTTGAAGTACGTGACCCAGAAAGACGTGGTGACTCACTGCGGCAGTGACGCTTGGTAGGATTGGTTCCCAAGCTCGAAACACGGCTTGCTTTGGTGGTCTTCAGGATGGCGCTACTGCTTCTACTGCTCCTGCCGCTTCTCCGATTTCAATCTCGTTTACCGTCATGGGGTCAACACATGTACCTCGAAATTCCAATCTTACTATAGGATCCGATCCGACCCATGATTTAACTTAGGCTTGGAATCCTTGAAGGGGCCAGGCATGTGCACGCCTCTGGCTCGTCAACCGAAGTGCAGAAGAACCTTACTCAGCCACTCATGATTCCGGAATGACATCAGCCATTGCAAGCTCAACTGCTACTTTGATCCGGAAAGGTATTTCAATCAGCCCACTTCTAGATTCATCTTTTAGAGACATATCCAGGCGCTTTGAAGCTTTGAGACTCGCGACTGCAGGCCACCCATGTCAGCGGCACCCTCAATCTCGACTCCGCGCTTGCCGCCTTCCTTGATGACCTGGCACCAACAGCAAAGGCCCGCAGAGTCAAATTTGACTTGACTTGCAATACTTCAACGCGTCATCACGACGCTTGCGTACCATTTTGAGAAAGATGACCAGGCATTGGCATTGGCAACAAAAAGTTAAGAAATGTAAAACCCGAAACACTGGTATACACTACCCGGTCTTCCTGCATACTCCAACCTCTAAGGTCACAAGTATGACTTGTGTCTGTTGTGGCTATGATGTGCGTTGTTCATCTCCTGTACGCAGAAGCCTTGTCTCTAAACAGTCAGATAACAACGATACAGATACATATATGCACGTATCTAGATACCCCTATAGGAATATGTGCCGAATAGATAGACAGATAGAGAGACAAGGAGAACTATCGTGTTCGCATTTTTGGGCGGGTGTGTGTGTATGTGTATGTATATATATATACTATTACTATTACTGTTACTATTACTATTACTATTACGATTACTATTACTATTACTATTGGTCGAGCAATGCGCCTTCTTCAGCTTCTTGGCCTGGGACTTCCAAAATTTCCATCCATACTTGAATCCGCTGAAAGGTGCACTTGTTTGGTTTCGTTCCCTCGCGTGGAAATCAAAGCAGCTCAGTGTCTCCGGATCATACAATAAGCTATTAATATCTTCTCCAAAAGTTTAAGCAATACAAAAGCCCAACACCTACACCCTCAATCCTACACCCTAAATCCTGAATGATTGCAACTGAGCCGTATGCCGGATCCTCAGGGGCTTTTGGCTCATCCTTGGCCTTCTCGGCTGCCTCCTTCTCCTTATAAGGAGCTGTGTTCGGGTTTCTTGAAATCGGAGTTTGGGGTCAAGGGCATGGAACTTCGGGATTAGGATTTAGGGTTAAGGGTTTGAGGTGTGCAGGCTAGGTTCTTGCTCGGGGAGCCAAACGCATGAACTATGACGCTGGCGCCTTCTTCTCCTGAGCCTTCTTGATGTCCTTCTTGTTCATCTTGACCTGCTTTCGGTGGTCGGAGATGATTTATTTGCACAACATGGCAAAGCCCTTTTGTGACGTTCTTTCAGGCGCTGGGGCAGCTCTGGTGCTTGCATATTATGCTCCTGGCCTTGCATTGTTCATTCCAATACCAGTGCTTCGCTCGTTTGATGCCAGAAGTTGCTTCTGTCCGCCTGCGAACATTTAGTTCGCCTGTTCGCCGAAACCTTGTAGTGGCTCTACCGCACGTCGAAATTACACGGAAGCTTCAGCCTCCTCCAGCGTGTAAGTCTGGGTCTCAACGTTGGAGATGCCCTTGATGCCCTTCAGCTTGGACAGGAACTCTTCCTGTGCCGTCCGTACATTCATCATGTTCGATCAACATGATGTGGCGCAAAGAACAGAGGTTGATTGCTTCCGCTTAGGTGTGCACCACATGGCCCTTTCGCTCATGACGGTGCATTTGGAAGCTTAGCACTTTGGAAGTTCATGCTGATCTTGAGAATTGGAGTTGGTTCACAAGCAGAACTGCCTCGGGGGCAAACTTAGTTTTCTCCCACTCACCGAAGGCGGCCGCCGACAGTTTAGTCACCACCTGTTCCATCATGACCGGACTGTCCAGCACGAGTTGGAGCAAGAAGCCTTTTGAGGGCCTTGAAGTCGAGGCAGCCGCCGCAGACTACGCGCTGCACGGAGCTAACACCCTCGACCTGGCACTCGCACTGCTACAATGCTGCAAAGAGCGACCTCAGCATACCGTGTATGTTACAAGGAGAATAAGACTGAGGAAGGCAAGACCAAAGAAGATCTACGAAATGGCATTGCCACATATAGCGTGATTAGTCCAAAGAAGAGGTCAAGCGAGAAGGGCTTGCGGAGCTCAGGTCAGCCAGGATGTCGTCCAGGGCAGCCTGCGCAGCGGTCAGCGCAGCCTGGATCACAAGTCTGGATATTTTGGCGCATCAGTTTCAGCAAACGTCAACACTGAGAACCTTGTCGTTGTCATCCGCCCACTTGCAGCGCCATTCGCGAGCAATGTTGTCGAACCTGACTTCAGCACACTGTTGCCTGGCTACGTCTAGACTCCAAATGCGAACGCTCTCAGCACAATAGGCCAAGGAAGCGGCTTCACAGTCTTGGTGATCTCCGGCATGATTGGATCGAATGTGACTTTATTCCCTCAAAATTGCCCGCGCTTTGAGCCAAGTAACTGATAAAAGGGCTTGCTCGTAAAGTATGCAAGTATGCAAACACGAGTGAATCACGTCGGCTGACATGCTGCTCTGTTTCGCTGCTTCAGTCACGATCGCACACAGCACAATTCTGCACAGAAGCTGCTGGACAAGACAAGCTCATGATAAGCTTGCTTGAAGTTGTAATGCAGCGCGCAATGCGGAGCAATGCGCTGTGTTTTTTGTTTTTGCGAAAACTGAGCGGTTTCTGTAGGGTCATGGAACTGATAATGTTCTTCTTGCGCCGCACACCTTAATGCCAACGAGGCAGAAGCCGGTCACTGGCACCTCACCTTGCGCTGCAATGGCCAAGTCTTCCAGCTTAGGTATGTACAGTGCCACAAGAAGTAGCGCTAGTAAGTGGACACTATTTTTTTCCCAGCTGCAAACTTGGTTTATTTGTCTGAGGAACAGGCAAGGTGTGCCGCTGTGGAAACTCATCAGGGCAAGTAGCTCAGACCTGATAGGCCAAACATAAGTCTTTCCCCAAAGCAGAGAACCCTCATACCCAAAGAGTAGGATCCTGGTCATTTGGATGCTACAGGCTTCCTACATGAGAACCTCCCCCCAAAGGGCACGGGGTGGAAAGTTCAGCACAGCGCCTCTTCCAGCGTGTAGGTCTGCGTCTCTACGGTGGAGATGCCGTCGATGGCCTTCAGCTTGTCGAGGAATGCCTCCTGAAACATGTTTCTCGAAACGTGAATACCGAATATGGAGGAATCCATTGTACCCTAGCTTTGCCAAGCAAAACGCGTGCGTCATGAGTTCCCCTCTATACAACCCCCCAGGTGCCCCCTTAAATCAGTGTTATTTAACGATCATTAAGGCTAATCAAAGCTAACTGGGGGGGGTCTAGGCGGGGGTAGTAGGGGAACCCCCCCTGAGTGTTTTTGTGTTCAGCCCCCCTCATCACTCAGACGCGGCAGATCCTGGCTGCCATCACCGTTTGTTTGATAACTGGGGGAGCTGGCGATGCGCAGTCAAAGCAATGCCAATGATGCGATTGCACAATGTACGAAAACAGTACACGAAAGCTTATCTGAACCGGAATCTTGGAATATGCTTGTAAGTACTCTCACATCCTACCAACCAACCTGAGCCTTACTTCCTACTGGCAAAGATCCCAGGGCCTCCCTCAATGTGCAGGAATTCCATGGTTTGGATGTTCATGGAAAATATCTTCCGAAAGAAGTACAGCAACTTTGCCCCTTTGCACTTCTGAGAGTTTGCCCGCAAGGTCAGCTGGCTGACCTCATCTGCGCGTAAGACCTGAGGACGAACCAGTCTTGATGTTTGAAATCCCTCGTTTTTAGAGCGTGTTTTTGCCAAGAGTGCCTGGCAATTTGGGAGGAACACTGCAAAACTCCGCATTTTGTCAACCGCGACTAAACCCGCACAAATCCGCTACAGTCGCAAGATGTCGCAAGATAGGCCCCAGGAATCAAAAACACAAGAATCGAGAATAGCCCAACAAGTTCCCAACGAAATCCCCTACAATCCCCATACATTTGATTCCTTTTGTCATTCTTAAATCGTTCAGCTCCTCAGGAGCAAAGGCGGCATTCTCCCAGTCTCCGAACTTATCGGCCGGCAGCTTGACGACCACCTGTCGCTCAGAGTCCTTTATTGCTTTAGCCGGACATGCTCTGGGCCTTGATGGGATGCGACAAGGAAGTTGAATGGCTTACATGGAGACTATCTGTCGGGGTGGATCTGGAGTAGAGAGTGAGCTTGACAGCTGAAACTTAGCACATGCGCGTTTGCGGGGCAGCTCACACTTGTAGCTAACTTAAAGCAACCGCTCGTGACCCTCATGCAGCAATGACAACAAACTTTGGGAGTGAAAATGATGACGGCAGTGCCTTGAAATCCAGGCAACCTCCGCAAACGACTCGCTGCACCGATTTCACACCATCCACCTGTCGGAACACATGCGGCAACCACATGGCTTCTCAGAACTATGACTTCTTCCTGGTGTACACTCAGGACTTCATCATTTGGGAGACACGTACGGGAACACGAAGTCCCCAGGCAGATTGACTGTAGGAGTTCTTGACTTCTCAAGCAGCGCAGGTCTGTGGAGCCCTGGTCTCCCCTTGTCTCGCTTCATTTAATTCCACCTGCTACTGATGGGGGGAGATCTTTTGCTGATGGAGTTTCAAGAAAGATCTAGCTTCACAAGCTACGACTGAAGGAAGTTGTCCTGTATAAAAGCAAACCTGACGTGATCTGAAGCCATAGGAAAGCGATTGGACATACATTGGGAGGTTTTCCCAGGATTGTATGCAGATAAATTCCTGGTGGCATGAGGGGCAATCCAGAATGGGCCTCAGGAAAGACCGATGTTGAATGTTCATGGGGCTTTGACGTGGACAGGAGGCCTGAAAAAAATCCTTCGGGCCTAAGCCGCAAATCTGAAACTTTTGGATGCCTCCTCAAGCACTGTCGTCGCCAGCCCTCGCCTCCCACTATCACAGCGGGAGACTCAGGCTTTGTCGTCTTTGTCGTCGCCAGCCCTTGCCTCCCACTATTACAGTGGGAAGCTCAGACTTTGTCGTCTTTCTCGTCGAAGCCTTCCCCTCCCACTATCACAGCGGGAGGCTCAGACTTTGTCGTCTTTCTAGTCGAAATCTTCGCCTCCCACTGCCTAACCACGGCACTGACCATCTGCTGACAGAAGCTTTCCTGGGTTCACCCTTCCACCGGGACCAACAACATACTCAAAATCAAACTCTGCAAATTGCCGCAGTGACCCAACAAGAAGAATCATGAATGAAGACTAGATGAAAATGAAACTTATGAATGTTGAGGCTTGAGCCACTAGATTTATTTTATCGCGTCCGGCCCCTAACCACAGGAACGATGGTTTGGGATTTAGGGCTCTGGTTCTATCGCCATGCAGAATGATTACACTGCCGAGGCTATTAGGGAAGCCCGCTATCATTGTCTACACCACAACTTCAGTCATGTTTCCTCCCACCCCCAACACCCCAAACCCTGGACCCAAAACACTAAACATTGAACGCGAAGCTCTGAACCCCAAAGCCCCACTCATCATCGAGGTATAGTCTAAACTCCTAGTATCCCCCTTAAAAGCCCCCATAATACTCCCCTATATAACGTCCTTTAGATCCATGGGGGATAAATAGGGGTTATATAGGGATAATGGAAAATTAAATGGAAACTACTATAGTATAATGGGGTATATTGGGGTTATATTGGGTTTATATAGGGATAATGGAAAAAAGTGCTGACTCTGAGGAGGCCACAGACTTCACCTCGGAGATCACGGAGTCCAACGCCTCCTGGGCGGCGTCCAGCGAGGCCTCAGTAGGTGGTAGGAGGGATCGGGCTTTAGGTGCGGATGGTGCGGAGGGTTGCTGGGAGAACAGGTTTAGGGGTTTCTTGGTTTAGGATGTTCAGAGGTTTGGGGGTCAAGGGTTTGGGGGTTTGGGGTTTGAAGGTTTGGAGATTTGGGACTTGGGGCTGATGTATGGGTGGAATGTTAGGGCTGTTGACGGGAAGGTGTCCGGACATGGCAAAAAAAAAGAATTCCTCTACACCAACATGCATTCCAGATAGTTCAGGATTCAGGTTGTAGTTGCAAGGGTCTGCTTAGACTCTACCAGCCAAAACAATCCAATTCGGGAGTTCACAAAACTACGGGCCCTTTCTTGCACGCAGAGTTTGATGTGCATTTCAGGTATGGCTAAGGACAGTTTTCTCCCACAAAAGTCTTCAGCCTGAGCAGATTTAAGATCTTTGCATCTTCCCCTACGTGCCATAATCATCAATGTCGTGGATGGATGACATGTCACGCTGTGGAATCTCAAATGGAAGATCTCCTCAATCCACTGCCCTGTTGAACAGGGCATCATCGGATTCAACTACGATAATGCAAACGTCATTCGTATGAGCCTTGTCGTTGTCTGCAGACCACTTGCAGCGCCACTCTCGAGCAATGTTGTCAAACCTTAGGTGTTTTTGCAACAGTCGCAGCAACGCTTCCAGCAAAACTATGTACCGTTGAAAACACCAATTGTCCTGAACAAAAAAATCGTGTGGTCAAAGTCAATCTCAATGGCAGACAGCTACCAAGCACGTCGATTATGCTTTTCAAAATGGGAGGCTAGAAAATGGGGTCTCCACAGAGGGACTCCTGAATTTTGCGAAGCCCAAAGTCATGCCAGCTCTCATGAACAGTTCAGGGTCCTACGTTTGAAGCTGTCAAGGCCCACCCTAAGTATTCCCCATGGAACTATCTAGGCCTGTCCCTTCTTGAAAGTCGAGATGCCCATCCACTCATCACCAGCTCACAACCAGGAAATTTCAATGGGGTGGCTGGCTTCTTCCTTCTAAAGGTAAAAGAGAAGTTGAAAGACAATGGCCAGACAAAATCCGGCTGATTATCTCTGAATCTGTGCCACGCACCTCAAGACTTTTTTTGAGACAGTGGCCCCCTTTTTCCCACGAATGCTGTAAGACTTGCTACGGGAACACCTACTTTTAGGGAGGCTTGCAACAGATCCCAAACTCCCAGCTGCCCACTGGTCGAATCGAGCAACGAGACCTTGTCTGTGATGGCCGCACGGCGTAGGACTGCTGCGGCCAGCACGGCCGCAAACCCCAATGATGCCTGAATGCGTTTAAAGTTTATGGAGCGCGGCGTCTAGCAACGGCAAACAACGACATATTGCAAGGCCATGTTTTTGAGAAGCTCACATCCTGAATGTTACCTGCAGCTGGGGACCCCGACACTCAGCTGCGCACCGCTTTGACGTCCAAGGTCATTAGAGGCACCGGCCACAGCGCGCGCAGGTGGCGCAACTGGCGTTGCCCGAGAGTTTGAGAGGCTCAGCGTGGAACTTCTCAAAGAAGGGGCCCAGAAAATTTATTCAAATCCACAACATGTAAGTAAGACAAGACCCTGAAGTCCTGAAAGCTCCCACATCACCTGGAGGCACGAAAGGAACAGCTGCGACCTCGCGGCGCCGAGGGGACCGTGAAGGCCACGGAGGTCAGCGCTGCCGCAGCAAGCGCGATGCACGTGACTCGTGTGACGCGTGGGGCCATTGCCGCCTGCCAGTCCAGGGGTAGTGAAGGAGCGTGACGGATTGCTTCACTCAAAATCCCCTGCCCAAAGGTGAAAACACCCTCACCTATCCGCCTTCCCTGTCACTGCGATGGGGTCATTATGGGAACTGCACTCCCTCCCCGGCAAAAAGCAGCGAGAGCAGGTGCTTGATGCAGTCGAAGGACTGCAGTTGCGGAGCGAGAAGAAACAACACTTCACCAGCAGCCGGAGCCGAAGTGGCCAACGAAATCGGCTGAGGACCTCCTGCCCAAGCTGCTGTATGTCTGGCAGCCTGCTATAATTTCAAAGTCAAGTTATTTTGCACGTCGCCTGTTTCAAACATGCGTTCTCCTGTGCGAGACACGAGGTGCTGTCAAGCGCTTGTGGCTCATGATGCCAGCTCGCAAAGAAGGGTGCGAGCGGGACAAACAAGAGTTCTAAACGAGCTATGGTTTCAAAATCGCGTCAGAGCCAGCCGAGTCTCTTCAGCGCACAACATGGCAAGCTGCAGTGTCTCTGCCGGGCCTCAGAAACATACTTCAAAAACAGTACGTTCCGGTTAGGCACCAAAATGCTTGCGTACTATACTGTTGTCGCAAGAAAGCAATAGTTGTGACAAGAGCGACCGGTGGCGTAGCTGCTGCATGTGCACATTTTGAAAGGAAGCGAAGCCTTTTCTGAATATGCCCTTCTCCGTCTGGCCTTCGGGGTCGAGTGCTAAATACATGCCAAGGCCCTGATACAGCAGCTCCGAGGCCCCCAAGTGCACAAAGTAGCCAACAAGCACAGGCCCTCAAACTTGATCTCTACCTTCGCGGTGTTACCCCCTCTACGCTAAGACTAAGCCAAATCCGCATCCTGGGCGCGGGGCGACCACACGTCCAAGGCACTTTAGATCTGCGGACATACAAGCAGCAACGGAGAGGATTACTACGGAGCTCACACTGACAACATGCAGACAGAGTGGGCCAAAGATCAGAACCAAGATGTTGCTTCGGTACCGCAACTCTGAGGACAGCCATTCAGCACGTGCTTGCAGCAACCCTTGGAGCAGGTACAAATTGCGGCTCGTTGCCTTCGAGCGAGGAGCTTCCACAACCTTAGCCTATGCTTTATCATAGGCTCCAAGAGATTGCTAACCCCAAGTGCTGCGGCACACTATCCAAAACCTGAGATGTGGCCCTGCCGAAGGGAAGAGACGATGCAGTAACAACTTGTGCACGAGTCAGGTGCATCAGCCAAGACCCTCACGTGCAAGCTAGAAAATGTATTTTCGATATCTGACATTCCCGCTTGGAATTCAGGTCACTCCTGTCTGTACGTATTCCAACCCAATTTAGCCTCCTCCAGTGTGTAGGTCTGCGTCTCAATGGTGGAGATGCCCTCGATGCCCTTTAGCTTGCCAAGAAAGGCTTCCTGCAGCAACTAGATCGGAGTCTGGCATGTCTCATAAGCGCGGCGTATGAGGACAGCTGCAGAAAGACTATCAGCGCATTCTTCAAACTCTTTTAGGAGCACCTATTATAAAGTCTGTCATACATGGCTGGCAAAAGAGACCCACGATTATCCCTGTGGGAATCCCCAGGAAACCAGCCCATCATTCCCCATTGGTGATCAGGGATATCCCTAACAGTCCCTACATTATTCACCATCATGAGCTCTGAAATAAATCCAGTCCCGGCCCCAGAATACCCCTAAAAAACCCTGCGTTTCCATGGAGTTCCTGACTTAATCTAATCGACCGGCAGCTGCAGCAGGTACATGCCTCCGGTGCAAAACCTGCTTTCTCCCAGTCGCCGTATTTCTCTGCTGGCAGCTTCACGACCACCTCAAGGGCCATGGGGGGTGTCTCAACAAGCATGCCGTTAAAGACCCCGGGGATGCAGGGATAATAACAAGATTTTCGGGGCCAATCTTGAGAGTTACATACCTAGTAGCGCAGGATCCGCAAAAGTGCTTAGATCAATTTTGTCAAGTTACGATGGACTTCACTTCACCTGTTGTTCAGGTCGAGCTTTTCACTGCAATCGCTAAAAGTTTTTAACGGCGAGTCACCGTAAAATATCTTCCGACGTGTGTTTTCCACTGTTGCTGCTGAAACTACTGTTGATGGATGAAATCTTGCACCACCTAGAGGCCCTGAACTACTGTAATTCCTGGGACTTTATGGGCTTTAGGTGCAAGATTTCCTCCGTCCATGGAATGTCTTGGGGTTTATAGGAGATCGAGCACCGGCAACGCAGCTCAATGGGACTTAGTAAGTAAGTGAATCATGGGGATGACTAGTGACTAGGGTTACTGTATGGGTTATGGGGGTTATTAACCTACTTACTAAGTCCCTCTGACTCTCCAAGTAAGCTTATGGGGGCTTAGCAGGGAATGAGGGAGTACAATCCCTCTGCAATCCATGTATAACATTTGCCATTGTTCCCCCCTAGCCCCCGGTAAGTAAAGCATATGCCCGAAACGTCCAAGGGCCTGGCTATATGTGCAATACTATAAAGCCCAAGAAACTGGCCCTGTAACCTCTTGAAACAGGCTTGCACGCTTAGATTTGGCGGGCTACTTTTGCAACTTGAGGCTAAGGTGAATCCAGGGGCCATGCTCTCCCAAAAGGTGATACACTCCCCCAAACTAACATGGAAACCCATATAGTCCCCTTTTAGAAGGACTATAGTCTTCATAGGGCCCTTTTTGGGTTTCCATGTTAGTTTCCAGGAGTGTAACTGCTCAAAACCACCAAAAGGGCACCTTGTTGTTTAGGATCTCCCTTTGAAGAAATGTGTTCCCAGTGGCCCCTTAAACGGAGCTTGAAAAGACCCGCGAGGTATTGGCGTGCACAAGTTCACGATGGGCGCCGGCCGCAACACTTTGTGCAGGCAGGGCTCGGGGTGTAAGGATTCCTGACACATTGTCATCCTGGTCAGGCATGGCATGCAAGGAATGGGCTGGAAAATAGGAACTGTCACCAAGGTTTATACTGGGAATTGGTATAGGGATCCCATCATCTAATTCCCTGACAACCACCATCAAGTTGTTGTCTGCGACAAGCTGTTTGCAGAGCAATTGTTACCGGGCTGTCGGAAGCGTCGAAAGGTGGGTTTTGGTTTCCATTGTCAAGCTGTGCTTCGTCCTGGGGGTTTCCTTCGAAAGTTTCGGCGAAGCAAAAAGGCCACCCCAGAAAGAAGTATGCCAGTTTGAGGAGAGAGAGAGAGGGAGAGATACATATATATATATACACACACATATAGGGCCACCGCGCCTTTCCATGATGCGCCTTAACCTCGGTTGATTGGGTGCAGTTGGCTTCTGGTGTAAAGTTTAAGACTGTCACCTAGTCATGGTCCATGTAGTCTCAGATCTGTCTCCCTGAGTCTGACCTAGTTAGGGTGTTGGGTTTAGGGTTTAAGTTTCAGGGTCTAGGATTTAGGGTTCAGGCTTCCTTTTTCCTAACCGACGGCCAGCATGGGGCGCTTTGCCGCCTCTGGGCAAAGTTTCCCGAAATCCGGCTGGCCTTAGGGCTTAGGATTCAGGGCTTAGGGTTTAGGATTTAGGCTGTAGGGTATAGGGCTTAGGCTTTAGGATTCAGGATTTAGGGCTTAGGATTTACGGCTAAGGGCTTAGGATTTGAACCCTAAACCAAAAACCCCTAAACCCCTACACCCTAAACCCTAAACCCCCAAACCCTAAACCCTAAACCCGTTAGGGTTTAGGGTTCGTTTAGGCTAAGAAGCCTGGGGCTCAGTTGTCATCCCACAGTCATGCCCTCGATGTATTCCTAGCTCATTTGCCTGGACATGAGCTATATGGGTTTAGGGTTTAGGGTTGTCTAAACTACTTAAAGGGGGCTTATATAGGGGATTATATAGGGGACTAGATATATAGGGGAGGGTTTAGGGTTTAGGGTTTAGGTTTTAGGGTTCTAAACTCCTTAAAGGGGGTTGTATAGGGGATTATATAGGGGACTAGTATAGGGGTTATAAAGGGGGATACTAGGAGTATAGACTATAGGTCACATGGACATCTTCAACAAAAGGAAGGTGAGAGATTTGTAATGTCTCCCAAGGCTCGTACCTGAGGATGATGCTGTTCGCAGGAATCTCTCTTGAAAGCAATACTGGGTTGGCCTTTGGGATATTTGAGTATTTTTCTTATTTGTTTCGTAAGAACCCTATATACGACTATTTTTCAAAGGGCTCTAAAGGCCAAGCAATAATACTTTGTCGACATAAGATGGTTGGTGTACTCTCGACCCCGGCTTGCTGAACCCTTTCACTAGGGCTACAGAAATAGGTTTCCATGGAAAGGAGGATTCCTAAAATAGACCCCAGTATACTATACCTGTCCTAGCAACACAAGGTACCCTCAATTTTCGGAAGCCCCCCAAATGGCACATAAACCTTAAACCCTAAACCTTAAACCCTAAACCCTTAAACCCTAAATCCTATTCCTGTAGCCCAGAAATTGAATTAGCCGCTGCGAGCCTTTCATATCAGACCTTTGAGGGTTTAGGTTTGAGGGTTTGGGGCTTAGGCCCTGAAACCAAAGTCCCCCAAGCTTAAGCTCCATAAATCCTAGCCATAAGCCACACCCTGTAGCCATGAATCCTAAGGACTGAACCACAAACCCTTCGTCATAATCTCTATGTCCTAGGCCATAAGCCCTCAGCCACAAAACACAGCACCATGCTTGCAGGTTCCAAGTGCCCCTAAAGCTGGGTTGGGCACTCACTGTGCACAAGGCCTATGGCAAGGGTTTGACATTGAGGGTTCAGGGTGTGAGCTTCAGATCTGAGGCTTCAGCGGTCTGATGTTGGATTTTCGGTGTAGGGTTTGGGGTGTTCAGGTTCCAAGCTTTACACAAGCTCTTCAAGCCCCGGTGATTTTGCACTTCTTGGCTGCAAACCCTCAACCCCAGTATCCTCAGGAAAAGTACCCGAACATGATGATTTCTCTTTTGTGCCCCTGGACTCATGGAGTTCCTCTTCGGGTGTGTTATGTTTTGGTAACGGAGTACACCACACTACCCCAAAAGCAACTACACGAGAGGTACTTGGTAAGCTATAGCTCTCAGGTTCTCAGCCATCACACTTGCACCCAACAACTCTCAAGCCCGGACCAGGACTGGACAAAGAATTGCCACAGCATTTTGATACGCAGAATCCTGAAACTTCCTGGGAGATCTTCTGATTTTTTATTTTTCTTAAAAGGAACAATGTTATCTTTGCATTTGAGGCCATGGAAAGGGACATTGTAATCCTTTCCCCTAATGAAAAAGTGCCCGCCGATATACCGCTTATCCTGAATGGTGGTGATTTTCTGAGGGCTGAGATTCTGGTCTCCCCCTCCCCACCCCCTCTCCGTTGGCGGCTACCTCCCTCTGAGGATAGATGTCCTAACCCTTGTAGTGGATGTCCCTACTACGGTTCAAGTATCCCTTAGCGGAATATTTGATGGTGGCGGGGGGGGGTCAGAAAATGACGAATGTGCGTCATTACCAAAATGGTTTGCCAATGGCTGTGGCGCGATAGCCCAAAGAAGACGCAACACTTACAATTTTAATAGTACCCCAATGAGACCTAGCAAGGAAGGGCCCAAAACCCGAAGCCCTAAATCCGCATTTCGGGAGGCGCAGGGAATGACCCTGACAAGGGCAGAGCTGCAGATGGACGATGCATTTGAGGCCAGCTACAGGGTTTCGAATATAATCCCCTCCCCCTAATATTAAACCCCCGCACCCCCAAAGTTTAGGGTTTCAAGTTTGGGGTTGTGTTTTCCCTAATAGTAAATGATTACTCCCGTTATACAGTATATTATTTATCTTGAGAGTATTCAATATTAGGGGTGGGGGTGTTTGATATTAGGCGGAGGGGATTATCCAAAACCCCGCACCGTAAAGACAGGTTTTGTTCAGGCTGTCAAAATGTTACTCTACGTTGGGGAGCTAATATATCTCTATTCCAAACGCCAAGCCCCAAACCCTAGAACCTGAACCCTAAACCCTGAACCCTAAACCGTAAACCCTGAACCCTAAACCCCAGACCCTACACCCTGGACCCCGAACCCTGAAACCTCAACCTGAAGAAATAAGGTAGACTCCTGGCATATCG